TGATGGTAGTGCAGGGGAATAGGGAAAATCGCATAGAAAGAGGTCAGTAACTAAGCCAGGATTGAGAAATGAACGTGGTTCCCAGAAGTAAAGCCACAGAGAATTAAATGTCAAAGTCTGAAAGATATATGGGGTGTTACAGACTGAACTGTGTCTCTCCAAAATTCATATGTTGACGCCCTAACACCCAGTGTAACTAGATCTGGAGATAGAGCCTTTAAAGAGGTAACCAAGGTTGAACAAGGTCATAAGGGTGGGGCACTAATGTCCTTATAAGGTCTAGTGTCCTTATAAGAAGAGAGAGAGACACCAAGAGTACATGAGTGCAGGAAAAAAGGCTAGATGAAGACAGTGAAAAGACAGCCATCTCCAGCTAAGGAGAAAAGGCTCAGGAGAAACCAACCCAGACGGCACCTTGGTCTTGGACTTCTAGCCTGCAGAACTGGGAGAAAATTAGTTTCTGTTATGCAAACCACCCAGTCTGTGGTACTTTGTTATGGTAGCCCTAGAAAACTACCACATGGCGTAAGCAAGGCGAAGGGTCCTACAGGCCAGGTCCTGGCTAAGAGAATTGTCAACACTCTGTTGTCACTGCAGCTTCCCTTCAGCCATACTCACTTCCTAAATTGGGCTCTCCACTATGTGAAATAAAATTCATATTTTATGGCAAGACAAGAAAAATTTAAACATAAAAGTTCTTCTCTGCTCTTTGGCCTCCCCTCTCCCCTCACTGTGCATTGTGTATCTGCATTACGCATCAATCAGACCTCCCCATCGGCAGGAACACCTGCTCAACCATTAAGAGCAGCATTCTCCCAGCACCAACAAGACAACCCCTTAAAAAAGTCATAAAGCTTTTTGATCTTGTACAGGGTCACATGACCTACCACGATGACCCTCAGATCTGGATCATGTAAACTGTCAATAATACATCATTTCTGACAAAGCGTTAATCTCCAAAATTTACAAGCAGCTCATGCAGCTCAACATCAAAAAAACAAACAACCCAATCCAAAAATGGGCAGAACACCTAAATAGACATTTCTCCAAAGAAGATATACAGATTGCCAACAAACACGTGAAAGGATGCTCAACATCACTAATCATTAGAGAAATGCAAATCAAAACTACAATGAGGTTATCACCTCACACCGGTCAGAATGGCCACCATCAAAAAATCTACAAACAGTAAATGCTAGAGAGGGTGTGGAGAAAAGGGAACCCTCTTGCACTGTTGGTGGGAATGTAAATTGATACAGCCATTATGCAGAACAGTATGGAGGTTCCTTAAGAAACTAAAAATAGAACTACCATATGACCCAGCAATCCCACTACTAGGTATATGCCCTGAGAAAGCCATAATTCAAAAAGAGTCATGTACCACAATGTTCATTGCAGCACTATTTATAATAGCCAGGACATGGAAGCAACCTAAGTGTCCATTGGCAGATGAATGGAGAAAGAAGATGTGGCACATATATACAATGGAATATTACTCAGCCATAAAAAGAAATGAAATTGAGTTATTTGTAGTGAGGTGGATGGACCTAGAGTCTGTCATACAGAGTGAAGTAAGTCAGAAAGAGAAAAGCAAATACCGTATGCTAACACATATATATGGAATCTAAAAAAAAAAGAAAAGGGTTCTGAAGAACCTAGGGGCAAGACAGGAATAAAGATGCAGACCTAGAGAATGGACCTGAGGACACGGGGAGGGGGAAGGGTAAGCTGGGACGAAGTGAGAGAGTGGCATGGACATATATATACTACCAAACGTAAAATAGATAGCTAGTGGGAAGCAGCCGCATAGCACAGGGAGATCAGCTCGGTGCTTTGTGACCACCTAGAGGGGTGGGATAGGGAGGGTGGGAGGGAGACGCAAGAGGGAGGGGATATGGGGATATATGTATATGTATAGCTGATTCACTTTGTTATAAAGCAGAAACTAACACACCATTGTAAAGCAATTATACTCCAGTAAAGATGTTAAAAAAAATACATCATTTGATGTGCAGCCCTCTGTCTCAAAAAAACTTATATAACTAACTGTATCTTAAAGTCTAATGGGTGGAACAGTTCTCAGAGCTTTCTGAGATGCTCTTCCTGGGCTATAATCCTCAAATTTGGCTCGAATAAAATTTTCCACTTCTTTCTGAAATCAACTGATTAATTTTTCGTCGACGACTACTCCAAGGGAATCGTGCCCCCTTTTGACAATGAGTATATTCTTGTCTCTTAGACTCCTTATGGGCAGGAGCTATGATATTTCTCTCCTATCACCCAGAGATCTGTGCTATGTATAACAAAAAGGCTCATTTGATGCTTAAGGACTGATGAATGTGTTCTCTGGTCCTGCACCTGAATCAGAGGTTCTTACCTATGGAACCCCTGGCGTAGGGGCGTGGAGGGCAGTTCATGGATGAACTTTAGGAGCTTGCCCACAGCTTTCATCAGACTCTCAAAGGAAATCCGAGCCTTAAAATTTTGAAAACACACTTTAGCTTTGATACTGACTTTTGTTAGACCCTTCTGACCAAAGCTGATGTTATCTGGGTCAGTTCATATGCAGGAATGTAACAATCTTTTTTTTTATCAGAGTTCTCTCATCACATTTAGATATCGGATAAGTTTCTAAATCTATTCCACAGCTCCATCTGTTAAGTGGGTATTGGTGTAGGTTTATTGTCCTCAGCTTCATGAGCTGTAAACGATTTTAGAAATGACAGCTTCAGAAACAATAAAAGTTTGGATATCTGCCCATAAACATTCCCAAAATAAAGTCATACTTAAAAGACATTGCGGATTCAAGGTCCCTTTACTAAAACACACACACACACACACACACACACACACACACACACACACACACTTTTCTCTATTATCTAGTTACAAGAAATACAGTGGATCCTTTTAACCATGTTATAGATTAATAAGACCTAGAGCAAACATCCTGTATAACTGAGAGTCAAAATTCTCAAGCTTTGCCACCTACAAAGGAACTCTCAAAGTACATATTCACATTTGAGAGATAAATCCAGATTGCTCTAACCAAGTTATTTTTTTTTGTTAGCATAGATTTCTGAAAGAAATTTTATGATCATTTTGCAAAGACATAAAATATCAATTTTAGTATTAGAGAAAATACTTCGGTTGGTCAAATCGTTTCCCCATAGCCCTCTAGCTAAAACTTTCTCTACATTTTCACTGAATTGCTGTTGTCCCCTGAAGCCAATCTCACGAAGCTATGTCAAGTAAATGGGGAATGTTGTTAGAAGAAGTTAGCATTTTGAGTTCCAGAGAAAACCGCCTTTAGCCAAGCCCAGGCAAAATCATCAGAAATGCTTGTCCTACATATCCAGCAATAGTCCCACCACACCTGTGGCCCTCGGGAGCCACTGGAGAAATGGTGCCTGTGTCTCCCACACTTCTCAGACCATGTGCACGGAAGCAGAGGGCCATCAGAGTCGAACACAGCCCACTCCTTTGATCCTTCTCTGAGGGGACTGATCACACCCTAGACCTGGGCTAAGGAAAAACATCCCAGTGTCTGAGGCCAAAGGACACCACGTCATTTCATCGTGTGCCTGGGAAGGCGGCTTGGAACAAATAATCCTGATTCTAGAGATGTTGAGACGATCCCAGCTGCACTGTGACGTGTTTTCGGTTCCTAGGCAAATTGCCCAGTTTCCTCCGCTCCCAAATTTCCCCAACTGCAAAACTGAGATAATTCTTGTTACCTTTCTCTTGTGGTGTTCTGAAAAATAAATAGGGCAAATGTTTCTAAAGTGCTTAAGGACAACTGACTGAGGGCATATTTGCCTAGAACTAGAGGTGGGGTTTTTTCTTTATTTTTGTTAATGTCGTTTTGCTTTTGGCCTGACTTTGGCATAAATGTAGAAAAATCTAAGTTAAATTAAATTTTAACCATTTATCTAAGGTTAATGGAGCAGTTACAGTATGTAAAGCACCGTGCTAGGCACATAGAGAGTACAGAGGGGGCACGTCCCCACCCTCAAGGGGCTCACAGCTCCCTCAGAAGGAGGTGTTACAGCCTAGAAGTTGAGTAACACAGGCGCAGCAGTCAGCCACCACCTACGAGCCAGAGACGCTGGAAGAATCACTCAGGTTCACCAAGCTCTGGTTTCCTCATGCAAATCATAATCACTAACATGTGCGTGTCTGCAGGGTGGCAGGAGGTGTTTACCTACTTAAAACACAGGACAGCCACCTGAGGTAGATACTCATATCATCCCCTTATTTGTATCCATGCCTTATAGATAAGAATCCTGAAGCTTAGAGACATTACCTAACTTGTCCCAGGTCATATCCGGTTAGGAACCAAGATGCAAACCCAAGCTGTGTGGCCTCAAACATGGAGACTCTCCCACTAAACCACGCTATCATCAAATGGGTGTAATGCTTACTTCATGTAGACTTGTGAGGGTCAACTGAAATGGACGCACTAAAAAACCGTTAGCCAGTGTCTGACGTAGTAAATGTGCAATAAATGTAGACGTAGCCGTGGAAGAGGTTAGATACATACATAAATAACCAGAGGGCCAAGTCTATTTCATGGCAAAACTCCTTCTTCCAGACCCATCATCATACAGAAGGTTGTGGTAGGGAGCTGTGTAGGGGGAAGAATAGTCTATGAACTGTAACATTCCTGAACCGGCTTATGAATGAGCTACACTATGAAGGAGGAATGCTTCACATATATGTACATTTCTGAAGGTCACTTAAAGAAAGGTTGAAGTATCTGTAGTATCCTACTGTTACTAAATTCAGGCATATTCGTGAGAACAATTTTTGCAGAAGCAATGTAGAAATGCATCTGCTGCAATTATTCTTACCCCTTCCTTAAGCCCCACCCCACCGATTTCCTTTAGGAAGAAACCACAGCATGGAGTTTCTTTTCAGTCTTAAAATAAAAATTCCCCCAAAAGGGATCCCGCTTGTAAAACCTTTTAGAGTTGTTTGAAAAAGACAAGAAAAAGGCATACGGAGCCAAGTGCTTATATTCTGGCCAAGTTACGAGCCTCTGAGAACAAGAGCTTGAGGGGAGAACTGTTAACCCGTTCTCTCCGGCAGAATGAGCTCTTTCCCTGCAGGTCTGCGCTGCCTGTAAAGCTGAGCGCGCCCTCGCCCTTGGAGTGAGAGGCTAGCCCACAGGAGAACTGCAGGAATCTGCAACAAAAACGATGACAGTCTGAAATACGTCCCTGTGCCAACCTCCAAATTCGTCTGTCACCTCAGACCCTGAGTAGTTGACAGAGCAGCAGAATTTCAACTCCAATAGACCTGAATGTGTTTCTGGGCAAAGAAGCAGAGCTAACGAGGAAAGAGATTCAAAGAGTATTGGGCGTTTGTGAAACTTATTTCCTGACTGTGTGCAAAGACAGGATTCAGCTTCAATTTTCTGCCAAGGCTCTGGGTCCAGCCACCTACCTGAAGGTAAATTTTAATAAGTTTACTGTATTTGTTAACCTGATTTGCATGATCTGATAAAGATGTCTAATATTTTTGCCTAATACAAAGCCATTTTTTAACAACAAGAACAAAAGAACCCTTTTGCATGATTTACAGAAAAGCTACTTACTAGGGAATTTTAACACTTGAATTCATGTTTCCTTTTCTTCTCCAAGATTAAATAGTAAGAACTAATAAATGATGTTTAGAAATGTAGAAATGTTGTTGGCCAGACTAGCATTCAGATCTTGGTGAAGTCTGAAATCCTGAAATGTGTTTTATAGAAATAGTTTACTAAGTGTATTAAATAAATCAAAAGGAAAGTAGTTGTTACAAAAAAAAAAAACTTTCAAATCAAAGTAATTTGGGTGTTTTCCATGTTTAAATTATCTGAAGTTATTCAGTCACCACCACTGTCCCAGTCTGTACCTAACAGCAATGTAGAAATGGAACATTTTGCTTTTCCAAAAGGTAAGAAAATCCCTATAATACTATATTTTCCTTTGATTACTTTTTAGTTATTGTGATTATTTTTTCCTGACTCCCTTTTATAGTTTTCTGACTCACTGTCTCTTGTCACCTTCTATCATTTTTTAGGATACACACACACACACACACACACACACACACACACATAAAATTTCTAATTCCTAACGATGTCTAATTTAGCAAGGGAAAAAGGAGGGAGGGGAATCAAAGAACTAAAAAATTATGATAACTCCTATATTGTAAGGTACCTTCATTTCTGGCTCTATCTTCTAAAATAAAACAATAATGCAAGTCACGCTCCCTCATTCCTCCTGGGTATTAGAGGTCACCCTGCAGGAGGAAACCATGTTTTCAACTGCAGATCAATGCTGTTGATACTATAACCAAGAGGTAGTGCAGAGAGAGTATCTCTTTTGAACTGCCTTTAATCTGCACAGAGGTTAAATATGTCACCTTGGCATTATATCTGAGCTCCCCTCTGGCCCAGGGCCTAAGTACACTGAATAGAAATGTTCACTTGGTCCAACTCAGCAGAAATCCTTTTTTTTTTTTGATTCTCCCCTTTCTCATGGATACCAGTTTTTTTCAATTCACATCTTATTCAGCTAAACGTTGATGGGTACATTAACTATGAATATTAAAAAAAAAAAAAGGACACCCCTCTCAGGAAACATTTAAGTTTATATTTCTATCCATTTAACAAGATCCAGCAAGGCACAGCCGTCTGTTCCATCTGCTTATCATCCAATCAAACAATGCTGCTTTCCACATTTTGGAAAAGAATATGTACACGTTATTAATGAATCTTGCCTTTTTTCTTTCAGGGAATTTCTGTACAGCCATTTAGCAATTTGAGTACTGGGGTTTCCTTCCAGGTCCTTTGGTATTTAATCCCCAATAGGCTCTTATGCACAGTTTCACTTATCAACTAAGTAAAAATAATAAGTAGGGAGGACGGAAATGAAATAAATAGTGATATATCTGGATAACTCCAAAACATTCTTCATTTCATTTCCTCTTGACAGCTTCTTATTTTTATTCAGTTGATATGTAACGGTACACAAGCATTGCTATTTCAGCTAAGTTTAGTACAAGGTCCAGAACATGTTGGGAATCTTTTTCCACCAAGAACATAAGCGACTGTTTTTCAGACTTCAGATGCCCTTTTCCCTCACATACCATTCTGGAACACCCTTCAGTGAAGGAGAAGGGGGGCCCATAAATCCAGGAGAACTTCCCCAGTAGGTCTGGCTACCCAAGAGATGCCCAATTAGGCCAGGGTCTGGTTCAAACAGGGCCCACAGAGCATCTTCCTCCAAAGGCTGGGCTTGCACAGGTAGTACCACCTGAGGCTAGCCTGATTTTTATCTTGGGCATCGAAAGATGATCAGAGGGCTTCCCTGGTGGCGCAGTGGTTGAGAGTCCGCCTGCCGATGCAGGGGACACGGGTTCGTGCCCCGGTCCGGGAAGATCCCACATGCCGTGGAGCGGCTGGGCCTGTGAGCCATGGCCGCTGAGCCTGCGCGTCCAGAGCCTGTGCTCCGCAACGGGAGAGGCCACAGCGGTGAGAGGCCCGCGTACCGTAAAATTAATTAATTAAAAACATGATCAGAAGTGTGGGAAACAGAGTGTGTGGTCTTGACTGATTGTAGGGAGATGGTGTAATAAAGTGAATAAGATCATGGGCTCTAGAAACTTACAGATCTGGTCTATATCTGGGCTTTCCCAGGGTCTGTGACTTTGCACAAATGACACTTTGAACCTCCGTGCCCTCATTTGCCAAAATGGGGATCATAAAATTAGTTACTACCTTAGAGAGTTGTTGTGATAAACGAGGAAAACAGCTATGTCTGGTACGTTTGAATCAATCTATCGATCGTAGCTGATATTAAAGCACTAGTCTACCTACATGTCCCGAATGGAACTCTGTAGAAAGGGAATTTACTCTAAGATTTCCCTCAGGGTTTCTTCCTTGTACTTACACACTTTGCTGTATAATAAAATGTCAATGCCAGGTCTATGCCTCAGAGTCAGCCCGACAGAGCAGATAGAGCATGGGTTTCAGCGTCTAACACGCCTCAGTTTGAATCCTGGCTCTGCCTCTTACAGGCTATGCGAGCTTAGGCAGTCACTTCACACCTCCAGGACTCAGTTTACCCGTCTATTAAGCAAATAGTGATAATAATACCCACAATGGGGTCATTGTAGGAATTAAATAAGATGCTTTTTAAATGTCAGGTATAGCACCTGGCAGAGTACTAGACACACAGTGAGGAAGTGTTTGATTACACACTTGGAATAATTTTTCTGGCAGTAATAGTGGGGGTCAAAAAGGAAATATTCGTTGAATTGTCTTTTTTTTATCTAAAGAAATGGAAAAATAAATCTGACACTACCGTATGCCCTTGAGAGGGCCTCAGCCTGAAGTATTTATTACTGAGTCCTTACTGCTTCATCCATTAGTAGCTTCTTAATGGCCAAGTCAAACGAAACCAGAGTGAGTTTTCTGTTTCAGATTGCCATTAAGAGGAATGAGGCGAAATGCTGCTTTGCACTCAACTGTTTTATTGGCCTACCTGGAGGGGGGGAAAGGCCCGAACATTTCTCCTTTCTTATCTTTTCTAAAGGCAGGAATAGGGGTTTTGACTTGCTCTAGGGGGTATCTTTTTCCTCTCTAACTGAATTTCAAACAAAAGGGTTTGTTTTTTGTTTTTCTGTTTTTGTAAACCTCTCCTCTATGTTCCTAGAATTGAAATGTCAGCTGCTTTTTCTGTAGCAGGAGCAGCCTGTCGTCATAGCAATGAAAGGGGATAGAGAGGCTCGAGTTTCACAGCCCTCTCTGTGAAATAACTCTTAGTCGGCTTTTAAAATCCTTGAGAAATGAAGTCCCCCATCCTGGCTTGTTTCCTTCCTATTATGCAACCAACTTATGTACGCCAAACATTTCCTTTAAAGAGTCAGTGAATAGGTGTTAAGAAAATGAACAAGAAAGCTACGACACGGTGCCCAGCTTACTGTCGAGTGCAGGGAAAAGCAACCGGGAAGGCAAAGGAGGAGAAAGAGACAGGACCTCACTTTGTAGGACAGGCTGGGCCCTACACTAAAGCCATTTCCCGAGTCCCCACTACCGCCTCCCACCTTCACGATGTGCTTATCCAGGTGATTATCAATCAAGGGGACTCAGGGGCAGGCTGCCTGGACTGGAATCCTGGCACTTACACTCTCTAGTTTTTTATCTTATCCACTCTTGGCCTCATCTTCTCATATGTAAAAGAGAGATAATAATGGTCATAAAATTGTCATGGGAATTGAATGAGATACTCTATGTAAGGCTCTTATTACAGGATCTGACCAGTGGTAAAGGTTGGCCGTGAAGTTCACCAAACCTCAGTTTCCCCTACTTCTTCAACGGGAGTAACAGCTAATTCATAAGACTGTTGTAGGATTAACTGAAACAATGGATGGAAGTGCTCAAGAAGCAGTCGTTCTTTTAATACTTTTCTCATTTGGTCTAACTCTGCTAAGAATGGCTTTTTTGAACTTGGAATCTCCCAGTGAGGAAACTGCAGTGAAAACAGGCCTCAGAATTATCCTTGTATAAACAGGAACCATTGAATTTCTTAAAAGGATAAAAGGGAATAATTAAGGATTTTTTTTACATTTATAAGGAGTAAAAGAGATTCTTCTCATCTTGATTAACACTAGGGCAAAATGTATCAAAACATCTTATCTTTCATTAAAATACTTTTTATTAAAATTTCTGTTTTAGTTTCTCCAGTGTTTTCCAGGTCATGAAATAAGTAATATTTTTATCTTATGTCTCAAACAACTAATGTGCTCAGTTCTATCCTGTGTGAAATGCCAGGGATGCTACAGGAACAAACAGAGAATGGCTGTGCTCTTGTGGCACTTACTATGTAGTTAGGGAGACAGTTGTTAATCAAATTATCACATTAATAAAAACTGCATTCGTGAAAAAGAATATATATGTATGTGTGCGTGAGTGTGTGTGTGTGTGTGTGTGTATAACTGAGTCACTTTGCTGTCCAGCAGAAATTAACACAAGATTGTAAATCAACTTACTTTGATAAATTTTTTTTAAAAAGTACATTTGCCCAAACATAAGGTGACCTCAAATACAAAGTCACCTTCATTTTTCTAATAAAAAGATCCTCAGGCAAAACCTTTGGCCAACCTAAATGCACACACAGATGGATAATATTGTAAGGTATGCTTATGTGTTACAGATACATTATTTTAAATCTCGTTTCATTTAAAATATTTTATACTTATAAAAATGACTTTTTTATTCTCATATTTCATGAAATGATTTTGTTAACACTCTCTATGCCTCTTTAACAACACTGTCTGTGTTCACTGGAGCCACTCTGTAACCGTCTAATAGAGAGTAGCGCATCATCAATCCTCTGCAAGTTGTTTATAACTCACTTCTCAGAAATCTGCTAGCGCTGCAAATTTGAGCCCCAAGCATAGAT